GTTTGTTTTTTGAAAATTAAAAAAAAAATAAAATTTTTATTTCATCATTTTAAAGCTTCACCACTGTTATCCAAATTTAAATGGTGATAGATCTGCACTTACATAACTATAGATATACAAGAGTTAACAATGTGCATTTAGTAATTATATTGATTGATCAGCTTGAAATACATTAATTAGTCTCATAAAGTATCACTTCTAAATGCTAATTAGAGTTAAGAGATGAATGACCAATTTATTGATGATTTTAATGTGACAATTTGTGTATTGTCTCAATAATATTGAACGTATTTGAAACGAAAGTTAGAATTACGTGTTTTCGATTAAAATTGTTTTTCCTTCGTCCTCGTTAGTCCCCTAATTGACTGCTATTAGTACCACGAAATTATTGTTGTTTTTTGATAATAGTATTAGGACTGTTTGATGGATGTTTCAGGAAAAAAGCCATGAACTGTTGGTATATTAATAACATTGTGGGAGGCTGAGAAGCGCAATCATTGGATTAATTTTAATTAAATTTTTCTTTCTCGCTCTCTCTTTAATTATTTAGTTTACGTGATGCGTGTACGAGATGTGATGTATAAATTGGAGGAAGCGAAAACGAGAGTTGTTCTATAAATAAAAGCCGGGTGGTTTAGTGTGATGAAATCGATGAGAAGGGTGGCGGCGGCAGCGTCGAGCGGTGGCGGCAGCAGCAGCAGCAGCAGCCACCGCCGCTGCCTCCCGCAAAACCCCTTCTCCTACATATTTAATAAGAGAGCGCCTACGTAACAAGTAGATGGTGTGGGCGGTGGAGTACGCGTGTTTGGCCTCCATTCTTCGATGGGGTGAGAGTATGCTCCGAGGGGCGGATCAGGGGGTGTTTGTCGACGGCGGCGGTTTTCGTTTGTCTGTGAAACGGCGCCGCCGCCGACGACGACGCCTTCACCCTCTCCGCCCCCTTACAATTTCGGCTCACAGACGGCGGCGGATTCTCCGACGTCTGGTTTTCCGACTAGCCGCCCGTCGGAGCGTGCGTACGTTACGCATGCCCAAACACGCTCTTTGTGCTTTCCCAGGACATACAAATCCGACGCTCGCTCAGGGAGGGCAACCCCTTTTCCTCCTGGGAACACATATATCAAATTACCCGAGCTCACATATATAGCGCACGAGAGAGAAAGAGAGTTATAAGGGAAGGTTGTAGGGAGAAGAGAGATGGCATATAGTTTAACACCTAAACCACATCCAGTTAGTTGCCCATTCATAATTTCCAACCCTTTGCTTTCACCTTCACCATTAATTCCGCAAGAGCGTACTGTTGTTTTGTAGTTGTTTTTTGTTTTTTTCTTCATTTTGACGACCCTCCTATATTTTTTTTTCCTATTTGTGGTTGACAATTATAACTGGGTTATATGAAAATGCAGTGAAGTCTGCTTTTGAAACGAATCAGAATTTATATTTCCAGTCTATTGCGGATGAATGACATTACATATGAAGAGCTTGAATCGGAAATTTTCATCCAAAAAATATGCGTGTTCAATTCAGAATAAATATTAACACATTAGTCATCAAATTTTACTATTTTCATAAAAACTACAATAAAATAGTATTTTTTATAGAAAATTGTTATTTGAATTTGTTTCATTTAATTATTACATAATTGTTTTACACAGTATTCGGTTATTATAAATACTAAACTTTAATTTGTAGATTTACGTATTTGGTATAATATTATTGTTAAGTTGTCTATTTCTTTTGTAATAATGTAATAGATTTTAAATATATTTATAGATTGAATTACTTCCAAAATACTTTTACATTCCATGGTTCATCAAGATCACTTGATAATCTTTTTTCTACTTCTGTTCTACTTTTGTTTATTTGGTTTAATTTGCCTTGGTTTTTGTATTCTAATTAAATTGCTGCATTTTTTAGCTGAAAATGCGGAGCATCAATTTGTACATGTTAGTAGAAACAATTAAAAGGAAATATATAATAAATACAGCATATTAAAGCAAATTAACTTAAATATGTTTTGTTTTGCTTATCTAGTAGGATAATGTTTTACAGAAAGTGCGGTTATTTGAAAAATTGCAATTGGTTTGTTTGTGGTTTATTTGAGATACGATAGGGTGTGAGAGACTGAAGACAGGAGAACAAAGTTAAACGCGGTACGGAGCGGTGTGTGGTCGCATGATCGAACCACAATTGTTTCAATTAATCATTCCTATTCAGGGCCGGCTTTGCATAATTCAGGATTAGGAGAAAAAAATAACATGGCAAACTGAATAAATGAAAACTGTTCGTGCGACGGGGCGAACGTTGCGTAAGTGCGAGTAAAATTAATGCACTTCGCTCTGTAACCTACATACGGAAAAGGGAATTATGTCAAGCGGGGCTCGGAGGCGGCGGCGAGACCTGGACGGAGACATGGCGGTGGGCGGGAAGCGGCGGCTGCGGCGGGCGTAGGCAATCGATCGATAACGTCGCGGGGGCGGCAGACGCCGACGCCTCGAGTCTCACCCACGCGCCCGTCAACACGACGGAGTGAAGGATGCGGCGGCGGTCTAGGCCCATTCACCCCGCCGCCGACGCCGTTACCTCTTCCACCGCCTCCAACCGGGATGCGGAAATGACGAAAGTCAAGGATAATCTGCACGTGCAAGCGCACACAGCGAATACGAAATTATCCATTATTCCCCTGCGCCGCCAGAGTTATATTCAGAAAGTAATAAAAAAAAAAGAACAGTAGAGAGAAAGAAGGAAGGAAAAAGACGGCGACGACGGTGATAATAATAATGCACGGGAGAAAGGATTCTTTCCCATCGCCGTCGTCCGTGTATTGAATTTCAAGCGAGAATTTCAATTTTGAACAACGCGCATTTGTTTACGAGACACTCTTGATTGAAATTCGAACGCCCTCCAGGGAACTTGACAATAGTGTAACAAGACCAAAACAACAACTCTATACAAATACGCACAAAAAAAAACAACAACGAAAAAACCAGAGTAGGGCGAATTATGTAATATAACTGCTTCGAATAATATAAATTACAGCAAATTGTTTCGTTTTTATTTTATTTTAATATTCACTAAAGCGCGAGTTGCATAATTGTCTTTGTAACAACACTTCCGTAACCTAATACTGACTCGAATTAACAAAAAATAAATGTATTACCTAAGAAAATAATTCTAGGAAAAGTACAAATTATATCATATTTGATGCAATCCTCAAAAGAAACCTTTTCAATCTGAAATAAAGCTATTGAAACTTAGATATTATTAAAATGACAAGTCGATCATTTTATCGGTCGTTTGCTAATTAGTATATAAGTGTGTAATACTAAGGTATTTCATTAAATAATACCAGTTTCCGTTACCGACTGTTAATTTGTATAATATTTATATTGTTTAATACCTGTTTTTTTTTATAAATGTAGCAGCACTTATTTAACGAATAATTGTATTCATCCTTCGGTGCTCATTCCCATCAAAAAGTTGATGGGATTCTGGATAGAGCAATGAAGATGAATGAGTTCGCGGAATGGGGGCTTTTTTTTTAAATTGCAGGACGCGATTATTTAGCGTAGTGTTGCGCACATGGGAATCAAGTTGGAAATTATGCACCCTACTTTCATTTACTATATTCGTTCTATTTTCCATTTCTTCATTTCGTTTTCCGGTTTATTATTAAAACCGCTCCCCGAATTATTAACATCACAATCGTTCCACGATTATTATTAACGCTGTCCGCACAAAAGAAAACTTTGTCAAATCTCGACTAGTTTAATTTGCTTTCGGTTTCGAATTAATTCTGGTAAAATAATGAAAATCCATCAGAAAATGTAAATTATTATATTTTTGCTTTTTATTTGTTAATACTGCTTGTGGCATAAAAACAAAAATCATTACCTTGTCATTAAATGTTTACGAGTATATTTAAGTAAAATGATCCTTTTATCTTGAGAAATCACAAAATGTATATTTCTTTTAGTTAATTTACGAAGATTTGGGTAACGTTTGTGATATATTTTAATATTAGTCATTACCGTTGTTACCCAAAAACAATAGATTAGGTAGACCATTTTCTATCATCAGACATTTGAATCGGAGACATTTTTGTTGTTTTCGGTCAAACTCTAAAATTAATCTATGATTGTTTATAAGCATTTATCTGAACGAGGCGATAAAAAACATATATTCGTCGCACATAATTAAATAAATTATTCTAAACTTCATGATTTAATTTATAGAATAAAGATAAATATTTTCTATTTATTAAAAATGTAAATGAGTAAATGGTTGTACGATTCATGTTGCTAAATTTAGAGTTAAATTTCATTAAATGGAATTGAATTGTAGTCTCTCGCATACAATAATTTTAGTACTGATAAAATGTGAATGGAAATCTTATTTTGATGCATGATAAAAATAATGAATAATAGAAGGTTTTTGAAATATTATTATTTTTTGTTAATTTATATTGTTATGGAATTAGGATGAAGGTTTTGGTTTAAAACAAGATGCTACTGTCCCTCACTTTCACCCAAACCATTTATGCGTGATTTAGATAATGGTTAATTAGTGGAGTCATGTTACGTAATAGCGGAGGTGAAACTCGTTTGGACAACATCTTGTGGATAAGGTTTTTCTAAATAATTTAGTGGTTGTGTCAGTCTTTCTCGATGAATTTCTTTTTTTTTTCACTTATCAAGGACCACGAGGTCCTTCACCTGTGCTGTGTGGTATAAGGATTTATACTCAAGTCACTGCACCATTAGATACAACGTTAGTTGCTTAAGTTTCGAATCTTATGAATCATCGAGATCGTTTGTTCCTCGAATTTAGAATAAATTGAATCTCGAACAAAAACTTGAATATCGAATAAAGAATGAAATGATTAAATTTCTTGTAAGGGAATAGTACCGTTTTATGGAACACTATCAAAGTAGATGTTTCAATGTATTTTCTTTTGTGTTCCGTACTAAGTTTGCTGATTTTGTATTGTCTTCTTGCAGATGCATTCGTCGGAGAAGTTGATCAAGCAAGAGGATGTGCCGCCACCAATTAAAAAGAACAAAGTGGAGTACATCCCGCTGCCGATGATGCATCAGAACCAGTCAATCTACTTCCAGTACATAGATACGATGATTCCGCCGAGCCTAAAGCAGAGTAAGATCAGGGAGATGATGTCTACGAATAATGGATACAGACCGGCAGCTCTGCCGCCACCGCCTGCTGCAAACCAGACATCGCTGCGGAGGCATTACTCGGAGGGCGGCGGTGGCGGGTACCAGCCGAACGTAGCTTTGGCACCGGCGACGCCCAAGAAGCACAGATATATCAAGCCATCATCGTACAAACAGGAGGAGGTCAGCTCATCGATGCAGAAGGAGATCAAGGTCGAGCGGATCGAGGACGAACGGCAGACGCAGCAGAGGTCGCCCGATTCGCACAACGTGATCGACTCTACGGTATCGGTGGTGCAAAGCACCGGCAAGATGCTGACCAGATATAACTCGGAGATAGAGCTGTCAACCGACACCGACGATACAGCCTCGGAGAGCTCAGACTGCACCGATAAATTCGAGGAGGTTGTCAAGAGCGTGATCGACAAAGACCTGCAGCATCTGCTTCAGAAGATCTTCCGGCGGATGTCCAAAGAGCGAGCGCTGTCGATGGCGGAAGCAAAGGAGAAAAACGTGAGGATTATGGAGCTAGAGTTGAAGCTGGAGCGATTGCAAAAGGATATGCAGGATTCGGAGGACAGACTGAAAATAACGCCTTCACCGCCGTCGACTCCGCCGCTGATTGATGAAAAGCCCATCAAACGAGAGACGGTTGTGGCGGCGACAGTGCCATCGGACGCACGCAGCGAAACTTCGCCGCCGCCTGTGACGACGACGACGACGTTGCCGCAGCCTTCGCCGCCACCGCCTCCGCTCGATAACGATGTCGAGCCTGCCTCCTCCCCCGCCAAAACCAGTGTCATCACGACGGCACAGGAAACGGGCGGCGGTTGCGGAGAGACCGCGAACGCTCTGTCGCCGCCGCCTCCCGAATGACTCTGATTCGGATCTGCTTTACGTATCCTGTTGGATCTTGCGACCACTCTCACCAAGTTCATTCAACGCAAGGGAAGAACCTGTTCAGTTTTCGAGCTTTATGTACATTCGGCTGTAGTAGTTATATAACCATACACATAAACACACACATACACACATATATACTTAGCTTCTCTCGCCGAGGGACAGACAAATTTGTTATTTGTTTTAATTTGTGAAATTAAGACGAACTGTTATTATTATTATTATCAATATGATGATTAATCAATATTTTCGAGTAGTTTTTAAGTTTTAGACGAGACGAAGATGATAACTAAATATTTTTATCGATAAAGTACAAAGCGCATCAGTCGCAGCTTGCAAAGCAAAGCTACGTTGATCGAAGAAACATATAATATATATAAAAGAAAAGAAGAAAAATAAGAAACATAGTAATAAATAAGATATAAAACAAATCGATTATATAAATATATATATAACATGACGACATATATACACTTACACACACAATTTTCAATATTCTTAATATGATTATTACTATTATTATTATTATCATCGTTGTAACGGCGTGAATGAATGAATTTGATTGTTTTTGTTTTCTTGCGAGGGTGCGCGGGTTCAAGTCCCACGAATTATCAATAATTTATTTTAAAAAAAACACCACTCCCCCATCGAAATGGATTCAATCATTAATTGTATACAACAACAAAAAAAAAACACCATCGATCTTTTTTGATAAAAACCGTCGACCAAAAGAAAAGAAAAAAACATTTTTGATACACGTTTGATACATTTTTCTCAGGTAATCGATGCAATCATCTATTGAAGAAAAAAAAATAACTTTTTTATATGGATTTGGATTTTCAGTTTGACATACGAGTTAAAGTTTGTTTTATTTTACGTTTTTTTTCTCATTATTTTTTTTAGAGAAAGCGCGGGACGCGAAAAAAAAAATTTGATCCCGGATCGAAATATTGATTGATATATTGTATATGAAAGAAAGTGAATATTATGTATATAGAAAATACAATTAATGATTAAATATGTTTATAAAAAAAAATATATACTTGTAATTATAGGAGCGCAAATAGTATAATATACAGAAGGAACTTTGTTTTAGAATGACTGTGGTATATATTATATAGAAGATACAAACAAAAAGTAATTTAAATATTCGAAAAGCGCAGGAGAGTAATATATATGAATATATATATATTAAATTGAAGATAAGGTTGAATACGAGGAGAACGCCATATGAATAGATTTTATTATTATTATTTAGGAAGAAAGATATTTTTGTTTATTTTACTAATTTATTTATGACTATCCTTTCACTGTGAACCATCCCCACGGTGCGGGGATGTAAAACAAAAGCAGCGTAGATTCATGATTTCATAGACGTCAGGGATCTACGATAACATTATTATTTATATATATAATATTATACGCATATAAATATGTAGATGATGTACATTTCATTTCTTGTTTTGTTTGTTTAGACTATTATTTTTTGTGTTGTTCTTTGATCGAACAGACGAGGATGTAACTGCGGGGAAATTTGTGATAGAGGGATCATTTCGGATGGCGGAATCCGATTTGCCGAGGAAGCAACTAATTTAAGTTTAAAAATTTGCTACAGAAAAAAAAACAAATTAATAACAATACTGAATATATATGTATATATATATATGATGGACCCAGTGATTGATCGTCGGTTATTAAATTTTTCGAGTATGCTAAGAACAGATCTCTGATTTATTTTAGTTTTTGAAGGGCATTATTACAAAAAAAGACAAGATATAAGATGAACGAAAAAAGGACCGGATTTGTTGTTTTTATATCGCCCTTGGAGACGTTGTTGTGAGGAGCATACCAAGGGGCGTGCCTTCTCCATTTTACGGACTTGTGATTGGAAACTGCCAAAAGAGAACAGCAATAAGTCATTCTACATTTATGGATTACCGCGATTAGCATATTCCGTACACCGGGGTTGTTTTGTTTTTTGTTTCAAAGACGATTTTTAACATATACATTTTGTGATCTCAGAGTACTAGGTAAAACAAAAATTAACAACAATAAAGAAAAAAAATTATAAATTACATAACGATCGGTAAATCTGTCGCGAAGTTTTATTTTTGATTTGTTCGGTGAGGCCTTGTTTGATGAAGGAGAGGAGAAAGTATCGTCAACTTATGTTTAGAGTTTGTGTGTCGTTTCATTGCTATACTATTATGTCTCTCATTATGCAGAAGAATTTTGTTATCATTTGTTCATAGGAGGATTTCGCCCTACCCACACACAGTATGTTGTTTCATTTTTATTGTACGTTGTCCTCCGGTTTATTTCATTTCATAAGAAGAGAAAACTTTATGTGTCAAAGAAAGAATATGATAAAAAAGAACGTAATATATTCATTGATTTATATTAAAAACAAAAGCGTCACTAAATCGTATACCAGAGTTGTTTTAATTTCATTTCATTTGTCCTGCCAAAACCACCCCCCCATCCCACGAGACAATTCTCGTTACTTTCCCAATTCGACGAGAAGATAAAGGTAAGAGGAACAAGTAAAAAATTTCATAAAAATTATTTTTTATTCTATATTTAGTGGCATTGTCATTCCATAATGTATGTTTACACATGGGGTATGTCCTACTACATTATGCAGCATCCCATGCATAATATAAATAAAATATAATTTAAAAATTTATTCACCAAACTGAAATTCCTTCCTGCTTTTTGAAGTGCGCTACACTTAGTGGACATTCATTAAATATATATATATATATGTATATAAAACTTCTTAATGATCAACTGAACACTTATAATAATTGTAATAGAATTTCTCTGATTCACCAACGATGATTATTGTAATTGGCGTTGCCGCCACCTCGATTGTTGTTGAAGTTGCTGTGACCGCCACGCTGGAACCTTGGGTTGCCGTTGAAATGAACGCCACGGGGAGGAGGTTGTTGCGTTGGCATACTATTGCTACCGAAGTTGCCAAAGTTGTTGTAATTGTTGTAGCCGTACGAGTTATGCACGTTCTTGTTGGGATACTGTACGAAGTCCTTCTGGAATAGCTGATGTCGCGGAACAACGCTCGGCGAACTTGTGGGTAGCTGTGGTGCACTCGGAGGTGGATGACAGATTGGGGATTTCTTAAGAACCGGTGTAGTGACATTCACAGTTGGTTCCGGTGCAGTTGTCGGAACCGTTTCAGGAGAACTCTTAGATATCGAACCCATTATATTCGCAATCACATTACGCGCCTCGTCCAGATCCACCTTTACTTCCTGGTGCTGTTTCTCCTTCTCCGCGCTGCTGCTCTTTATGCTTTGTTCGATGATCTTCCTCTTCATATCCAGCTGACTTTCTTCTACGTTCTTACTAGCAGCTTTGAAAACATCCTCGTAGGTGTATTCGTCTTCCGAATCGATGTTTATATTATCGGATTTCTGTTCTGCTTCGAAAGAGCACGTATCGATGTCGGTGTGGGAGGAACCGATCAGTTTCTTCGAAAACGGACTTATTCTTCCCTCCTCCTTGTGGTCATCATCGTTTTGGCCTAACTGCACAAATTTCCTTAAGGACTCTACACGCTGTGGCTCCTTCGCCTCCAGTTTCTTAAGATATGTAATTAATCCTTGCTGCTCCTCGCTAGACAAATCTTTGAAGTTCTGCAAGAGCGTTTGTAAGTCTGAATCCGAGAGTCCGTCCATCGTGTCCTTTGATGATGAAGGCGTAGGTTCAGGTTCGGGTTCAGGTTCTTTCACTACAACTGTTTCTTCCGGTGTTTTCTTTGAGAAGCTTTCCAAAAACGAAGCAGTAGTGATAGGTTTGTCTGAATTTTTTGACGCTTCTGCCATTCCAACCTAAACACACAAAAAAGCCATTTAGTTAAATATCATATAAATATCAAAGTATATCTCTTTAGTGTATTGCAGGGTTTAAATTTGAATAAAATTTATTTTCAAAATCAATTTCGTTTTGCCTGTGAATCTGCGAAACTATAACATTATTATATCTTTTATGGGAATAAAGAATACATCTGGAAGTGCATTTATATAATAAAAGCAAAAAAATGCAACATGTTTTTCACATTAAAAATAATTTAAGCCTGACCAGAAGATATGTATCTTATTGTGTGAAAATCTATATGGGGTACTATATTAGTATAATAGAAATATTAGCTTGATGTAAAAAAATATTTATTTTATGCAAACATACTGATTGCAACTGATTAGTTTTAATTCTTGAATGGAAGGAAATGGTACTTACAACAGCGTTAATAAGTTGTTCCAGTTCAGCTTGGGAAACGTCGGTCTTTCCTTGCAAGACTAAGGCGGTAGCGATTTGTTTGGCAATCGCAGTTTTGTCCACCGTTCCGACTCCTGGCACTTTAACTGGATCTACTTTTGGTGGATTGGCGGCCTTTCTGGTGCTCGCTAAGTGGATCAAACTGGCGATTTTAGTGATTGCCTGTTTGAACGCCTTTTCCTGTGGATATTCCACCAATCCTGCATGTAATTGTCCCTTCAATTTCTCTTTGATAGTCTCGAAAAGTACACAGTTTATGTCACTGTCCAGAAGGTTCTCTGAACTGTTTGCTTCCTTCTTCTCCATGGCCAAAGCACTGGCAAGCATATCGACAACCTTCGGTCCCAGCGAGCCTAGTTTATCCTCTAGAGCTGTGAGCAATCTCAAAACTCCAACGACATTGACTTCTCCATCATCTTCCGGTTCGGGAGAGACGGTTTTTGGCATTGAACGTTTATAATCCAACGGAGTGCGACTAACATCCCTCATAACAGGAGGCGGCTTATAGCAGTCCAATAACGGCGGCTCTTTTTTGTATTCTCTGTGGTAATTGATGTCCCGTTCCCAAGATTTCTCCCTGGATTTGTACTCTCTGTCTTTGCTCCTGTTGTATCGGTCTCTTTCCCAGCTTCGATCCCTCCTCCTAGAATCATTACTGATTCTGTCCAGTGAGCGCTTATCGCGATCTTTCGAATTCTTCCTACGCGAATTATAAGAATCAGATTCCCACGGGCTGCGTGATCGCACAGGCGAATCATCTTTATCCTCGATAATGATCACCTCGTGATCTTGGTCAGGTTGCGCGGCTATCGGTACCGGTCTGGTTCCTTTCTTACCGATCCTAAAACTAACAGGCTCACCAACAGGAAGTCCAAACCTAAAACATAGACAAAATAAAATATTTAAATTTAACAAGTTTTAATTGAAATACCTTCTTCGCAGGTCGTCAAGTTTTGTTTTAAGTTCAATCTTATGTAGTTCCACTATTTTATCGTTCCAATAAATAATCCACTCCGGTTTAAAATCGTACTTCGCGGCGTCTTTTCCCTCAGCCTGCAGTTCTTTATAACGCTTATTCCAGAATATCTTCCACTCGTCATTATACTGAGGATGTTTCTCTGGGTTGTTTTGATGCTGGTTTAATTCCTTCTGCAGGTCTTTCTCTACTATCGCCGATAACCTTTTAAACTCTTCCATTTTCTCTACTTTATTCTTGCTCTGATCTTGGATTTTCTCGTGCCTGGACTGTATGTAGTCCGGTCGGTTCCAAGGCATATTTACTTCACGTTTGTTGTTTCTGGGGAGCGGTGAAATTGACCGCCGTGAGTAACGTGATCGCGGACTTCTACTTCGGCTTCGTCGCCTAGACGAGTACCTTCTGCTGCGTGGACTATCATCGTAGTCGCTCAGATCACTGCTCGATATGCTTGAAACGCTGCTCAACGATTTTCTCCTGGACTTCTTGTCCGTCATTTTCAACCTTTGTGCGTGTGTGTGAACTATGGGAGGGCTGGGACTCCGTTTTCGATATTCATTAGAAAATCTGTTAGCTATACTGTTTGAGTTCCTACGTGGATGGTCTAATGAAAAATAATAATATAAAATTCGTTTAAAACAATATTGACAATCACATACCAACTTCTGTCACTCTCGTCAGTTCTTTCGTGTCCACCATGTTCTCAAAAGTATAACCGTTCTTTTCCGAAAAGTGCGGTCCATTGAAGATTAGCTGATGTAGCTCGTCTTTCTTGCGCTCGAACGATTCCTGGTCCACCGGGTGCGGAAGAAGTCTCCCGTATTTAGCCTCAATGGCATCTCCTATTTTGTTAAGCGCCTCCTGGTAATTCTTCTTGTATTGTCTCGTGTGGTATGGAGCCAAAAGCTGATAGGTCTTCGGGAAATGTCTTTGCAGGTACTAAAATATAAATAACATGATAACGATTGGTAATCATTGTTACAAAACAAAAACTAACGCCTTGTATGTGATTGTAGCTAACTAAATGCGCTATGACAGTACGTGGATCTCCTTTCTTGCCGCACAATAAGCATAAGTATGAGGGTTCCTTCTCCAGATCGTAATCCTGTATTTCCAATAAGTACTCCAAGCCTAGCAGAGCTCCAGAGCGAAAAGTATCCAGACGCTCCTGAAAGTTAATAAATAATAAATTAAAGAACAAACATTAAACGATGGATGTGTCTACTATACCTGGATCTGAGCGACCTTAGTTATTTCTCCCTCAAAGCCAGGAGGCACTGGTTCGCCTGGCGCTATTTTCATGGAGGCCACTTCTTCTTGCACTGGTTCTGGCTGCGGCATAATGGTCGGGCCCTTCCACGAGAATTTAGCCTCGAAGTTAGCCATGTTGACGGTGTGTCTACGTCCTCCTTCATGGTAGAACATTCTGCCCATGACGGGACACTTGCACACCTTGCAATACCAACTCTCATTGCCATTGTTATATCGTAACTCAAAGACTGTGCTATATTTTCCATTCGGCAAGTAGCCTTTGACATTCAAGAGACGCTCCTGCTCAGAAACCTGCAAAATGAAAACAAAATATTTAGAAAGTCCACCTGCAAATCGAAAACAATCAGAACCGAAAATAAAATATACGTAATTAAAGAGAAAAAAAAGGTATCATATTAGGCAAAAAGGGGGGAAAATATATTTTTAAATTAAAAAAAAATAAAGGAATAAATTGATTTTTTGTTCAATTTCCACTCACTTCCATATAAAACTTTTATTGTTACTATTATTATTATTTTAAATCCAAAGAGAGATTTAGTTTAATCCTCAGGTCCCACTACTTACCAATGTCTTAAAGTATGGTTATTATTATTATTTTTACAATACAATTAAATTTTCATGTTTTTTTTTTTGTTTGTTTATAATTAACTTATACTTACCATAGATATAAATTATATTTGTTTAAAATGAAAATGAAATGATAAAGGCTGGAATTTTATAAAGAAAAAGAAATTGAAGGTAGAGAAATAATAGTTGTATAAAGTTACCTGCCGCTATATTTTTTTTTTTTTGTAGAAGGAAATGAAATAATTGGATTTACCTTTTTGGTCCCAAGCGGTGCCACTTGCACTTCATCCTCTGTGCCCGGTGCCACTGGTTCCATATTATTATATTTATAAAAATTCAATAATATTATGCGCACTTCAACACAAAACACAACACTCTTGCACAGCAATAATAATATTGCTGCTGCTTATCTCCTCAATATAAAACTGTTTATAGCCGATTTAAACTGCAAACAGAAATTCAATTAAATCAATGGCATTAGTTACAGGTTGTTCATATAGATAAGATATATATGTGAGGATGTTCAGTGGAAGGGAAAGGTTTTACTTACCGTTCAGCAGGTTAAGCAGTTAAATTAAACACGAGTGCATTTAGGTTTTATGTTCATATTAATATCTCTTCTCAAACACTCTCACTCCTTGTATAGTTACTCGCACGATACTTACTTAAAACATTGTTTGCAAACACAAATCTTGTATATTAATTAAATAGAAGATGGTTGGAGGACAACTACTCTCTTTTTTTTTTACAAATGCAACGTCAATCACGGAATTCTGTTCGACGCGGTTCAAATACAATGGTACAATACACTCTTAATATTAACAATAGATGTTTTCGGCCGGTCCTTACCTAATTATTATTAATATATTCTTGTATATATTGAAAAGGACGAAAATATTCCATTTTACATGTAACGCTCCTGTCACTCGATATCAATTCAACTACAATGAAGTTCGCTGTCATTTACGATCCGGGTTTAATGCGAAGGAAAACAATCCATAAAATGATTACCCGGAATAGAGCTGCAGTTAATAAACAAAAGAATTATAGTTTTATTTCATAATTTATTAAAAATATGATAAACCATAATTCAATGTTATTGTATTGATTCACTATTCTCAACACTCTAATCAGAATTGTTGGAGTTATTTCATAGAGGTACCGCTTTCTCCCACCTAAAATCAAGATTCCGCGAAATTAAAAATTGAGTTAGGCAACCCAATTTCCATGTTGAATCTAACCATTTTCTTAGCTATTCTCATTACTGGTGGCAATCGCAAGCCTGGCAACCGAAATATCGTCAATCAAATTCGAATCGAATCAAAATCCCGACAACCATAATTCCGACTATATCAAAATCTTGACTATATTAAAATCCCGACCATGTCTTAAATGTCTTTAATGACATTTTTAAATTATTCTGGAGCGTAGTCACTTTTAAGTTGTTATTAGAAAGGTCGTTGGTTCAATTCCGAAAAATCAACAAAACATTGTGGTGGCTGTTAAACCCGAAAGGGGTAGAAATAGGGCCGGAGAGATTTATATCAATAAATAAAGAACAACAATTCATAATGTTAAGGTTTATTATGAATAATTCAACAAAATCAAATAAATTAATAATAATTTATTGTTATTAATAATAAAAATGTAGCATATGCTTCGAAATAATTTAAAAATGTTATTGTAGAAATTTTTGATATAGTCGGGATTTTGATGCATTCGGGATTTTGATATAGTCGGGATTTGGAATTATGGTTGTCGAGATTCTGAAAAATCGGGATTATGGTTGTTGAGATTTTGATATAGTCGGGTTTCGAACGTCGGGATTTCGATAGACGGTATTTCGGTTGTCGGGCTTGCGATATAGACGCTCTCATTACCCTTCTTAGAACTCATGTACTAAATTTACAATAAAAATGTAAATGGAGAAACCAGTCGTACTGATGCTCATAGGCAGAGGTGCCTGATTTTATCCCATTCCAAAAACCGAATTCAATCGATCGAGGACGTAGCGCGATCTAGGACCATTTGTCCAAAATAAGTCTAAACTATGATACAAATATGCAAGATATCATTCCTTTATCGTCCTCTTTCGCGAATGATGTTATTGTAACTGAAGTGTCAGATTGACAAACATTAAGTAACAATATAGCAAGCCAACCATCGACTAATTTTGACATAAAGCCTGACTATACTTTATTACTATCTATCACTTGATATCGATATTTAAATCCGTCTCAAGAACAATTTGACTTCTCTTGATATACATTCGTGACTTGTTACTTGAATTTGATTAAGTACGAGATTTTTTTTTTCTTATTCATTTTCTTCTTTTCATAATTGACATCAATATAAAAATCATAAACAGTAAAGATTGAAGTGGATTATCTTCTTGAATCTTTTTTTTATTTGAGCCGTTATATTTGAAAGTGGTAAAAGTCTAATTTTTCATACATCGAGATATTTAAGGGTTTGAATTAATTAAAAATATTGACAAATGTTGGAAAATATAATAAGAGGATATCTATATCTTATTAAAATTAACATTAACTCATTATTTCCAAAAGTGGACTTATACAACTTTAAAAAAAGAGTAATATTTAGAAATGTAATTCAGAACATTTAACATACTTGAAATATGGAAATTCTCAAGTATTTTTTAATGGGCTTCAATAAAAAATATTGAATATTCATAATAATAACGGTGGCGATAATCAAGTGATGAAAACAGTATAAATTGAAATGAAATCTTCTGAAAATTATCATTTCGATATTTCCATTTAAATTATTAACACTTTATACCATAATGGCAATTGAATCAGTCTCCCAAAAACGCAAATTGCAAGAAACAATACCAGATGCAGAAGAATCACTTAAAAAGAAGGCTAGAAATCATATTGTCAAATTAAGCATTTACAAGCTGTAAATCCTTCTCACAGTACCAGCACCTTTCGTCTTCCTTCTTTGCGATAAAGTGCAGGTACTTGCCAAAGCATCCATGACCAGACAGCGCCTGGCTCAGGTGAAATGTTGTTTTACCGTGCTTTCTGCTTAACCAAGGCTCTATTTGTGGGATTAGGCACCGAGTCCAGTCTCCTTTTTCCGACCTGTGCCATTTATCTTGCCATTTTTGCAGCATCCGTCTGGCTCTAGCATCCGCTTTGGTCGCGGATGACAAGTCTAAGAAGACGAAACTTTCGTAAGAAGAAATCATGCATAAGGATAGTCTCAAGGTAGTAAAACAAAGGATTATAAAGTTTTGAATAAAAAATAAAATACATTAATATATAAATAATTAAACAAATACTTTAACAATAAATACATTTCATATATTTTGACCTCCCAAATCTTCTTCATCTCTTATAATAATTTTGTATTATTTATTATAATGAAAAAATTCTAATAAAGGTTAAACATTAAAAATCTATTTAAATATCGTTCAAAATAATATCCGAAAAAAATAATACAACAAAAATGAACAAAATATATATGTCGGTAGTTACATACATTCTAGAAAATTATTTAATTTATGATTTTGGAACAACAGATTTGATTTTAGACCAACTTTGTTGACAATTTTACTTAGTACAGAAATATCTTGTATAGTACGGCTTCGATCAGTCCGTATTCACTATAGTTAAGTAAGCTATCACTATACTTAATTCCTAGATTAGTTTTGAAAGCAAAGATTGAGAATATCATCTCTCAATCTACACTGCACCAAATTAGATTTATAGTTGTAGTTGACTACATATTACGCGTTACTTGTTAAGTAACTTATATTAATAATATAAATTATGCAATCAGGACCGACCAACAAACTATTAAACAAACTTATTATTTCGAATGTAACGCTAGTAAAAAGAGACTTGGCAAGTATCGTGTAACAAATAGCTAGTTAGGGTAGGGTTAAGGTTTCTATAGTAATCTAAATATTAGATACAAGAACGACTGTTTTCATTATTATATTTTTTTTGTCGAAGTCGCATTTCAGAACTTTGTCTAAAAATGTACGCATGGTTTTATTTTAAATTCCTCAACATAATCAGATTCTTGAGTACTTAAGGTAAGATAAGTTTGTCTTTGAACACGACAGTATCTGTGATAAATATATTACAAGTAATAAAAAACTGTAAACAAATAATAGACTTATTACCAACTCAATTCTTGCGTATATGTGCAAGGTAAGTTCGTGGAGTCAGAAACGGTTTCCTATATGAAAGTACCAATAAATTGAAAATACAACTAATAAATCAGTCAATACTCACTTCGCAAAACTTAACAAGTTGTTGGTATTGATATTTCTATAGTAACTAACCATGATACACATATACATTTGTACATGTATATCTGTATCATAGTAACTAACAACTTACGTTAAAATAACGTAGATTTTAATTGTAATAACAATTTGTAGATGTCGTTTTTCTGTTTATTTTTCAGAACTTTATCAGCTAACGCACTTGCTACAGTTATTGTTTTATTGTGTTTACCTGCTTAGCATAATCAGGCTCTCGCGCACCTGTAGAAGGTAAGTTCATAGAGTCTGGAACGGCTTCCTCTTTGAACTCCGCAGGGTCTCTTTGTCTTCAGTTAATTGCCCTGCGCTCGCGATCTTGCCGACAAATATTTGTGCCCTCTTTGTGATGCGTTTCGTGCGCGGCGAAAGCAAAGAACTGACAACAAAGGATGATAAGAACGATGGAAAGTGCGTTCCCTCTTTGCATGCGAGAAACGAAAGCGAAGGCCGGCTTCCGCTTGATATCACGGTGTTATGCAATTAGCTTAATTAAACAGGCGCATTAAGGAGGCGTTTCGTAAATAAAAGCTTGTTAAATAAAACAGAGATACCGTAATAACAAAACGGGCAATGTAAATATGTTCACATAACGATTGTTTTTTTAAGTAAGTTTGTGTTTTTTTTAAGGCAACTTTTCTTGTCGAAACTTAAACACTTTTTTGTTTTGTACTGTAATTGTGCATACATACAATGATCAAATCTGTTAGGAAATTAGACTTATATATAAATATTACCAAGAATAAAATTTAAAATATTTCTTACAAATGAACTTAATCACCTTAAAAAATCATTAATTACCCCTTTTAGTGATTTCTTCATTAACGTTAATTTGGTCTATTCAAAGTTATAAATTGCGTTCTAAATGATAAACAAGGTCTTACTGTATACAAATTAACAAAATATGAAATAATTTTGGATACAGGCAAGCAGATCCATAAAAAACATGAAATAAAAATCAATGTTTTCTAAACATATTGAAGTCTTATCTGAAAATATAGCAATAACTCGCATAGTGCGGCTTCGATCAGTCGGGTTTGAATATTTTAAAACAAAGTAAATTTGAATTTATCAAAATAAAAATAAATTAATAAATTAGTACTAATTATTAATTTTTACTTAAAACAGTTCAGTCTTTTTTATCATTTTGTGCGGTTTATTTTTCTATGTATTTAGTTCCTCGATTGGTCCAGTTTCAAACAGTCCGGGATATTGTCCGAACCGAACCCGCACAATGCGAGGTATTGCTGAACTTATTATTTACTGAGATATAAATTTCTTGATATCTTCCAACTCTCTTGACAAAATATTATTTATTGTATTTTTCAGTGTATACTACGCTTTAGTTTGTGCGTTTAAAAACATATTTAACTATTTTTTAAATAAACTTCCAAGAGAACTTAGAGCTGTCAATAAACTTAACTACTTATCAGGCCTACTAATCTGAAGATAGATAGATATTTGATATTGAAATATCATTAATATCAGCACAAAATTTACAACTATGATTGTTATGCTTAAACTAGGTATTTAGAAATTACATTTAAAGCCAATTAAGGCAAATAGAATCAAGACATCTTTCAAACTATAATCTTAATTAACGTAACGTTAGCAGGAACGGGTCTATATCGCAAGCCCGACAACCGAAAGACCGTCTATTGAAAGCCCGACGTTTGAAATCCCGAGTGTATCGAAATCCCGACTACCATAATCCCGACAATCAAAATC